AACGAGATCATGACATGTAAGCTACTTTTTGTCTAACTCTTATAGTTTCCGAGTTAGCCTATTCGGACATCGAATTTGAACCACCCTGTACAGCTATGTGCCGCCATATTTTGCTAAAATTATTCTAAAAGTTGGCAGTGAGAACTTGTAAGTTTCATCCTCATAATTGTTGATGATTATTAATAATTTTTGACTGTTATTAAGCAATCAGGGCATCAAAGGTATCAATTTTTTAATATTGTTCTTATCCTGCCTTATCTTATTTATGGTTTTTCTTACGAAAATCACAATTAAGTGGTGTTATTTAGTTAGTACTAGATCTCAGTAAGTGCAAAACTTCCATAGCCAACTATAAAGAAATAGTATATTAAAAAACAAGTTTCGTAAGACACGCTTGAAATGCACGAATTCAAGTTGAAAAACGAGTGGCGAAGCCACGAGTTTTTTAATGAATGAGTGCTTTAAGTCTTATGAAACGTGTTTTTTATGCTATTTTTTGTAATTCGCGTTTTTATCCTTTTTTTTTAACAAAAATAAAATAAATTTTGACAATGTAGGAAAATAGGTATGCAGCAGTTGGTAACACCGTAACACTTGAAAATAGAAATTTGAATTGACAATTAGAAACTGTCAAAACACAAAATGTATTCACTTGAAAAGAATGTTTCATGTACACCTCCTAAAATAAGAGAAATTGTTCAGTGTTCATGTCCTCATCATTGTGGATCTTGTATTCGATGCTAAGAACGTGTTTAAACATCCATAGAAAAAAATTGTCACATTGACAACTAGAAAAATTAATGACCCAATGTCACCAACTTGAACTGCTTCCATAAAATGTTGCTAAAATCTAATTACAGCATCGGATGCTGTAAGGAGAGTCTCATTACAGCACTTGTTTGAGTACTGTTAGAGCTTTCATTACCGTCGCGAATTACAAAAAAATTTTTTTTAATAATAGCAACGCTTTACAGTACAATGTAGCATATTTTATTTTTTTTACGTTAAAACTATTATCTTTAAAGAAAAGACTAAAGAGACAAAAAAGTACCAATAATGAATAAGCTTTACAACCCATATTCTTTTATGATAATATTCCACGGCGTTAAAAAGTTGTTATAAAACAATCAAAGGGGTTGTGAATTTCATCCCCTTAGAGGGCGCTGGGGAAGTTTAAGGTATGCTTGAAAATAAGATATTAACCAGTAGTACATACATACAAAATTTCAAATTCTATGGTTTACTTATACCCGAAATAAAAGATAAAATGTAAATTTTTGGCTCAACTTTGACAGCTCATAGCTCGAAAACAAAAGAGTTGAGAGCCTATTTGTATATAAAACACTTGTGTTATTTTGACAAGTACTACGTCCTAGTAACGTTTCCCAATTAAAAACTGAACCACCCTGTATACACGAATCCTATGAATAGACGACGTTGTAAAAGAAAATTCATTAATAATATTCTTACTATCAAAATGTTGAGCTTGTTCCATTAAAAATTGTGAACCTTGTTCCCAATGTCTCTCAAGTAATTGTTCTAATGTTTGTGGTAAAGCTCCAGAATTTCCACCAAGCATTGAAGATAATCCACTACCGCCAGAAGCGGTACTCGATCCACCAGTACTATTTGAACGAACCTACACAATAAAAAATAATTTATTCACTAAACACAAATATCATTAAAAATTTAATACCGATGCTATAACTCGGTGTTGTAAAGGAGGTCCAACTAAGTTACAAGAAGCCTCATTTGGCGTAAATATACTATGGGCTTCCAACTCAGAATTTAGATGATCCGACATTTTCTGCGCCATGTTCGAATTAGGATTCAATTGGTTCCCCAACATATGAGGAGCATGTATTCCATTTTGAAAACTAAAATTAATTTATTATTAAAAACTATATTTTCTCAGTATTAATTCACTTACACTTTAACATTATCTTTAGAATCCTTAGGATTCGCCGTGGAGCACACAGATGCCGGAGCACTTTTCCTCCCCTTTTTCCTACCGTTCGAAGGCGCTGATCCAAGACTTTCCGAACTTGGCGAACTCGGCGGAGATTCTTTTATCGTACTCTGAGAAAGTCCACTAAATGAACTCGCTGCGTGTTGCGCAGTTAAATCGAGATTCGATTGCGACCTACTCGCCCTTTTCGTCGTCATCGTCGAATTCGTTGCTAAACTTGTACCTAACGTGTGAGAACCACGTTTTCTTCGTGGTTTTTCCTTTTCCGTCGATTCAGAACGTAATCTTTTCGCTGGAACTTCCGGAATTGGCGTTATCCTTTCAAGGTCTACTTGCAAAGTACTGTTTGAAGGTATTTGCTTTTCATACGTTATTTTTAAACCTCCACCACTCATTTCTGATGTAATAACTCCGCTTTGGTTATTATTAGCTCCAGGCATTATCCCTAGAAAAATTTTAAATTTGGTACATCATGGAAATTGAGATTATTAAACTAACCAGTTGCTGGAGGGCTGGAAGTAACGCTTGGGCTACGTTCTTGGAGACCTAAAAACGGTGATGAAGCCGCTGAAACCGACTTAACTTGATTATTAACAATATGCGCGTGCGGACTGAGACTAGCGCTGTGTAAAGGAACTGATACCACCAAAGAATTAACAGCCGGTTGACTTAAAGGTGCTGATTGAATGATCGACGGTGTCGAAACTGTCGTCGAAATTCGCGTGGGACTCGTCGATGTAGTTATTGGCACTGGTTCCGGTAACACTGGTGTTGGAGAATTGTTGGTTATCGTTGGAGCAACGATTGTGGGAGTCGTTGATTGCTGATGAATTATTGAAGGGTGATTTATTGTATCGGTTTTAACCTGAAATTTTTATTAAAACAAAATTTAAATTAACATTGTAAAAGAAGATACTTCCTCTGTCCGAAAATAATTGCTACATTTCAAAGAAACGCAAGAAATAAAGATTTAGGAAGCAAAACTATATTACTTATTTAAATTGAAAATATAAAAAAACAATAATTTAAACTATTTATTTGTAATACTTAATTACTTCTATTATTTAAATATTCTTGAGCTATTTTAATAGCATTTAATAGACAATAAAGTCCAATTAGAATGATAGCGTTTTAATTTCATTTTGTTTAGGTGTTTTAATTTATAACTATGAGTAGTAAAGTTTCTCTGCTTATACTCCAGTAGGATTTTTTCACTGCTTCAATTAATTCAGCGATATTTCTTTATGGTAGTTGATGCTGAACTGATTGAATGGAATTGAAAAAACCTAAATCCAATACATTCAAATCGGGACTGTTGGGTGGTTGCGGTTTTAATAGTTAGTGAAGAATCGTTACTGTACAAATGTGGCTTTGCATTATTTTGAATGTTGAAGTTGAATGTATATTGTGTCTTTCTTAGAACCAACAGGTCACTTGTCCCGTATTGCAGGAATTAAATTATGAAGAATCATTTTCCTTATTTATTCTTTGTTAACAACTTCCACAGCTCATGAGCAGTTTCTCATAGCTGGAGAAGAAGATGCAAATGGCCAAATTGCTAACTTTCCATGAAAATACACTTTTCTATGAAAATCCCAGCATAGACGAGCAACTGCCGCCATAAACGTTACTTTTGTAATAATTTTACTCTTACAAGGTCTATAAGACTGTTCTTCTTCAGGAGTTATCTAAAAGCTTCTTTTAGTTTTGGTTATATAGAACCATTTTTTATCAATATGTATACAGGATGTCTCTGCGAGACGTTTCTGGGATTCTGGCAAAAATAAAAATTTAAGAATTCAGACTTAAGTATTATCAACTACGATCTCTTCGACTAAAATATTTTCAGATTTCTTGCACTTCCGGTTATACCGGAATTCGCCACCTACTTTATTTTTTTAAATGGAACACCTGTATATTTTTACATATTTGGATTTGTTTGTTTTCAAGGTTTATAAATAACTTTACTTTTTGCAATTTAATTAGGCCGTTCTCGAGTTATTCGAATGTTTCTAGAAAAATCTGCTCCAGCAGACATTTGTTCAAAAAATCAGATATCAATTTAGGATTCAGAACATGCTTAAGCAACATGATGGAGTATGTTTGGTGCCGAAAACGGCTGTCTAGAACGTTTGGTCACGTTACCATGGCGCGTTAACTTTTCAAAATTTGGAAGTACCAACCCAACCCAACCCAACCCCCATATTTTATTATTTAGTCGTCTTCGGTATCTCATTCTACATCTTTTATATCCCATATGTCCCATATCTAACATTAATAGTTTGGGAGATAATTAGGGTTTTTTGAAAAATGCACACATATATGGATATTTAGCCTAGTGTGCCATGAAAAACAAGCCTTCTCAATGAGTTCTTGTCAAAGACTCACTTGTTTACGTCACTTGATGCATGTGAGCTAATAATTATCTGTTAGTCCCCTTAATATTAGTACTGAAAAGTGTTAAAATCGATAACAATAACGAAAGTAATATTTACACAAATCAAGAAATTCTTAATTTATTTTTTATGCATGCAAAGCGCGGCAAAGTTCGTAGTACGATTCCCAGATCTTCTTTGGCAGCTCGAATTGAGGTGTTGGGACTGGGCTTGAAATAAGCCAAGGTATTCACCTCTTCCTTTGCATTATCTACTATATTTTTGGTCAGTTTAGCAAAAAAATTGCTTCTATTTTTCTAAATTTACCTTTTGTCATCGGAGGTAAATGTGGATAATTTTCATTAAACATTCTGCAAGTTCTACTAAGAACTTTGTCGCACTTTTCGTGCACAAAAAATAAATTATGGATTTCTTCATTTGTATAAACATTATTTATGTTATTAATATCCATTTTAATTGGTTTTAGACTCACAAGCATCAAACAATGTAAATCAGACTTGGCGTTGGTCAATAAGTCATTAAACATTTGTTTTCCATGGCACACCAGGTCAACATCGATATGATATGTCAGCATTTTTCAAAAAACCCTAATTATTTCTCAAACTATTAATGTTAGGCATAGGACATATGGAGTATAAAAGATGTAAAATGAGACGCCGAAGACGACTAAGTAATAAAATATGGGGGGTGCAATTTAAAAAATTAAGTTATTGTAGTTCCAAATTTCGAAAAGTTAACGTGTCTTAGTAAAGTGACCAAACGATCTCGAAAAGTTATTTATAAACCTTCAAAACAGACAAATCCAAATATGTAAAAATATACAGGGCGTTCCATTTAAAAAAATAAAGTAGGTGGCGACTTCCGGTATAACCGGAAGTGCTAGAAATCTGAAAATATTTTAGACGAAGAGAACGTAATTGATAAACTTAAACTGAATTCTCAAATATTTATTTTGGCCAGAACCCCAGAAACGTCTAATGACCGGTCTCGCTGAGACACCTGTATAATTCAGCAAATCTTCGAAATACCCTGACGGTAATAAAAACTTTAAACAAAATTCAATTCGTCGCTTTTTATCTTCTTCAGTTAACAGTGGTTTAACAAAACTAGTGATTCTTTTTATTTCCTTTCCTTTCTTTAATCCGTCATGCAATGTACAGGGTGGGCAAATTTGGGTGTTATTATAGGCTATCTCATAAACTATAAGAGATACAAAAAAAAGTATCGAGGTGTCATGTCTCGGTCTCTTTTTCCAAGACTAATCCAATCCCGCAAAGACCAAATCTCTATCTTCTTTTGTTTTTAAGTTATAGCCAAAAAGTCAAATTTTAGCGATTTAAAAAAATGCTCATATTTCGTTTATTTTTGAAATTAGAGAAATGGGGTTGATACGTTCTTAAGGCACTTTTTTAAATAGAATATACTGACGTTGAAAAATTTTAAAAATATTTGACGATTTTTGAGATACAGCACAAAGTTGTGTTTTTTTAAATACAAGTTATACTTGATTATGATGTTAATGAAAGGAGCATATTTTTAGCTTTCCAATGATGTATCGCATGTATGGTGTATTTGCGGAAAATAAGCGTTAATTTTCAATTCCAAAATAGTAAGCGCTAAAGTTCAAAATTTTGATAGTAGGCGGGTTCAGACAGTAATTACTACTTAATTGCTGTATGGTTTTGCACGAATATGACAGAAAGTTGCTCTTATACCATTATGCAGGATAAAGTTGGTTTTGTACCAACGAATAAAAACTTTGAATAGTTGATTTAAATTGTTCACCAATAAAAAATGATTTGTAGATAAAGTTTGTTTATTAAAAATACAAGAAACGTATTAATTAATGAATAATTAAATATGAACAACAACTTCAGGAACTAAACAGTCACAGACTGTGTCATCTTCTTCTACTAAACTTATTATAGTATCGTCCCACTTTTCCCCAACCATGAGATTTAGAATTTTTTTCATATTAGCAACCTTTTCTTTTGATATTGGGTGAGATAGAGGAAGATTAAGGATTATAAACTGGGCAGCGGACATTCCATTGAAACGATGTTTCGAATTTTGCAATACATCATTGGAAAGCTAAAAATATGCTCTTTTCAGTAACACCATAATCTACTATAGTTTGTATTTAAAAAAATACAACTTTGTGTTGTATCTCAAAAATCATCAAGTATATTTAAAATTTTTCAACGGCACTATATTCAACTTAAAAAAGTGTCTTAAGAACGTATCAACCCCATTTCTCTAAATTGAAAAATAAACGAAATATGAGCATTTTTTGACATCACGAAAATTTGACTTTTCGGCTATAACTTAAAAACAAAAGAAGATAGAGATTTGGTCTTTGCGGGATTGGATTAGTCTCGGAAAAAGAAACCGAGACATGGCAAATACTTTTTTCGTATCTCTTATAGTTTCTGAGATAGCCTATAATAACACCCAAATTTGCCCACCCTGTACAGTCAGAAAAAAAAAGGGATGCGTCGACGTTTTTTCGTATAGGCCGTCCAAATTACACAAAATCCCATATACAGTATGTAAAATGAACCACGAAAATGTAATTTGGACGGCCTATACGAACGAAAGTCGACGCATCTCTTTTTTTTCTGGCTATACTTTTTGGTACCTTACATGCGTAAGCTAATGAGCTTAATGTAGTTCGTTTATACAAAGAAAGAGAAGAAATGTTTGCAATTTGCTGGCTATAATTTTTGACTTTCCATCCACATCTTTTTTTAAGGGAATCAACATTAATGACAGAATTGTTACATTAATGCGCCTCGTTTAAGTTTTCCTTGACTGACATTTTGTAATAAATAATGTACGATTTGCTTACGTTGGTCGTTGTTAAACTTTCTACACTTTTTGCCACCTGTTTNATACAAGAAACGTATTAATTAATGAATAATTAAATATGAACAACAACTTCAGGAACTAAACAGTCACAGACTGTGTCATCTTCTTCTACTAAACTTATTGGTTGTAAGGTGAATGAAATTTTCGGTAGTATCGTCCCAGTTTTCCCCAATCATGAGATTTAGAATTTTTTTCATATTAGCAACCTTTTCTTTTGAAATTGGGTGAGATAGAGGTAAACTGGGCAGCGGACTTTCCATTGAAACGATGTTTATATGGGATATGGAGCCTTATCTATCATTTTCAAAGAATCATTTTTTAATTTTATCGCTTTATGTATTTAAAGATAATGAGGAATTTCGAAAAACTCATGAATGAAATGATCAGTAAACTCACGTTACTATAGTAACTAAGTGGCATTTAACGTTTTCCTCGCCTACTATAATTAAAATTTTGAATATTAATCTTTAATATTTTAGAATTAAAAAATAACGCTTATTTTCCCCAAATACACCATGCGTGCGTCAGTAACACCATAATCTACTACATTTGTAGTCTACTATACCACGAAAATGTAATTTAGACGGCCTATACGAACGAAAGTCGA